TGTAGGCAGGTGGGATCTTCTGGAGTGGTTTGTCTGGCACGGGATCTGGAGAAGACTCTGACTGAAGAAACTTTTTTGTTTTTTACCAATCTTCCGAAGAGGATGCTCACCGTTGTCCATAGCTTTCTTCACTTTAAGAAGAATTGTTCTTTGTAAAGTCCTTTACAGAGCCCTCCTTATTTATCAGCTTTTAAGCTTCATTAAGTAGTTTGATCATCAGAAGGACCTCAGCTTTCTTAGGAATCCAGTCTGCTCTGTCCATTCTTGCAGATGACTTCATACTTACCTCCAGTCCAGTCAGTTGTCCAGGTGAACACCAAGACATATACTCTCTTCTGTAACCTCCACTTCCCATGAAGGTTTGAAAATATTGACTTATTTTATTTATGTTTAAAATAAGTACCGGTAGATTGTTTCCACACCATGCCACAAACTGTCCACCAGCTCCCCGTACTCAGCTTCTTTTCCATCCCTGATCACCCAGTGATTGCAGAACCAGCTAAGTATTCCTGGAGATGACAGGACTTTCTGGTACTGGAAGTTGTGGGTGTATAGAGCAGAGGTATCAAGTAACGAAGTACAAATACTTTGTTACTGTACTTAAGTACACTTTTTAGGTATCTATACTTTACTCCATTACTTATTTTTCTTCCTACTTATAACTTAAAAAAAAAAAAAAAAAAAAGACTGTTTACATTTCCTTTTCCTTTCCTTTTCCTTTTAATATATTTATATATTTTTTTTATTTTTCATTTTTTATTTTTATTTATTTCACGCAGAATATAATGACAATTAAGGCTTTTTGACTTTTGACTTTGACTTTTTGACTTTTCTACTCATTACATTTTCACACACCTATCTGTACTTTCTATTCCTTACATTTTTAAAACAAACGTTACTCGTTACTCTTGGCTTTGGTTTAATGTTTCTAAATATTTATTTCAGGTCATGTGCTCCATCCAATGCAGATCATTGGCTTCATCCACATCTAGTGAAAACTATTGTGATTGGATGAGTCATATAACGTAAACACTCATTGGTTAGCTAAAGGAAATCATCAGAAGCAAGCAGGTGTTCTTCAAACTGCAAACGTGAATTGTCTATGCCATGCTACAATGTAGGATTCAGAAAAAGATGTTGAAATGTCTGAAAGGTCGGACAAAGGTCAGAGCGTATCGGGATATGGAGACCAACAAGACCTCCCTCATCCTTGGACCTATCTCTAAGAATTTTAGAAATAGTCGAAAAATTGAGCTTTTAATTCATATAGTGACATCTGGCTGTTTTTTTTCAAAGGTTACTTTACACTTTTAAACTTTACGTAGTTTTTGGAGCACATACTTTTTCACTTTTACTTGAGTAAAGAGGTCAAGTTGATACTTCAACTTTTACCAGAGTGTTTTTAAACTGCAGTATCTATACTTATGTGTGTACTTTTAACACCACTGGTGTAGAGTGTGAAGTAAAGTATCTGATCAATGCTTTACTCAAACTAACAACAAATGAGTTAAACTGCTATGTTGATTGCAGGAGAATATACAGATTTCAATCATATTAAAATGATTTGGGAGTGTTGAATGGTGTGTTTGAATTACAAGTTTTACAAGTTTCAGAGTAGGCTTCATCCATCCATTGATCCATCCATCCATCCATCCATCCATCCATCCATCCATCCATCCATCCATCCATCCATCCATCCATCCGGTGTTCTGCTCATGTTTTCAGACTGTGGGAGAAGCCTGAGAACCCAGAGTAAGGAACACGGAGAACTTGCAAAAGAACCCAATGCTGGGTTTCAAGACCTCCTTTTTTGTTTCCAGACCAAATTTTTTTTGTGTGTGCTTTATCAGTGTTTTATTTTCATTTAAGATTAAGATACAATCCTTGCTTCCTTTTTTCTTTTCTTTTTTTTTTGGAGAATGCTGCTTTAGGTTAAATGGGGGAAAGAGTTTAAACACAGTCAGCTGAGGTTGGAGGATATTTTTAGCCAGGAGAAGAGACAGAAACAGAAAGTAATGAACCCATCCTCACTGCTTTGACCCAATTTTAAAAGCCTCTCCTCTTTATAAATACTTTCATCTTCATTTTATCATACATATCCCTTCCTTTACAATAATAATCATATTGTGAATGTGTAAAATCTCTTTTGTTTTAGTCCCGTCACATTGAGATATGCAGAGACATATGTGTGTGTGTGCGCCGGTCAGCTAGGGGGGGGGGGTTAACGGCAGAGAATATAGGTAGATAAATAAATCTCCTGCTATTCCACATCCACCCACAAAACCCACATCACCCCCACTCATTTTATCCAGCTGAATTAATTTGATACTATTTTTGAAAGTCAGTGTTTCTAAGGGATACCTAATGACGCAATGACGTCAATGCAGGTCAATAGCACACTGCTGGAGAAGAGGGATAGAGAACGGGAGGGAAAACACAGAAAGACGGTGAGAGTAAGATGGAGGAAAGGTTGTAAATGATTTAAATCCCTTCCCTGATTAGTGTAAAATAATATATCCAGAAAACATTTTTTTTTCCATTTGAAACCCAGTTGTGCGTCTATCTGTTCCCCCCATTTTCCATCAATGCTTTCAGCATGACTGGAAGTCACACAGCACACACAAAAAGGCAAGAAGAAACGTCGAGCCGAAGACTGAGCGTCTGCATTGGTAGATGAGTCGTGTTTGCGTCTCTCCACATGCGTAAAGCTCCTTGATTTGGCGGGACCCCACCATCCGCTGAGCTCCACTTGTATTTAACTACTTTCTGCGTTTCTCCAACCAACGCCGCCTGTAGCCCCTCCCAAGCAAACCCAGCCCTCATTAGAACAGACTCCTTCAAATCATAAATGGCAACCACAAATATGTCAGTTTACCAAAGAACTGGGAGACGGCGCACATCCTGACGCGGGGGGTGGAAAGATGATGCGGGGCGATCCCGCGTTGCCATATTCCGTTCTGTTTCAGCCTACAAACGGCATTTACTTGTAGAAATAAAAACAAACCTAAATCTGAAAGGTAAGTACCTTCGTTTGTGGGAGCAATATTGGATGTTTGAAGTAAGAGTGTGTATATATTGCTAATTCTAAAAATAAACGGGCTGTTAAATGAGTAGGCTACAAGTTTTATTCCGCTTTTCTTTTGAACTAGGATTTATTTAATGATAACTTGTCCATCTCTCCTAACTTTGAATTACATTCAGTTGCATTTCCTTCCAGAGTTTCTCTCTTACATTATTTCTCAAATTTCAAAACACATCTCAGCAGTTTGATAGGTCACTATTGAAAGTATTTTTTATTACAGAGAATCCACGACGTTATGGGAGCCTTTCATTTTCAGCGAACAAGCTGTTCAGCACCAAGAACAGTTCCTATCACTTTACCTCAGTATCTTCCCGGTCGTTTTCTTTTGTTCGACACATTTTTAGGATTGATTATTTGAAACGGTGCAACAGTTGATCCGTGTTTTTATCGGCTCAGGGTTTGGACGCATCAGTGGGCGCTAAACTTAAGATCGTTCACAACTGTTTTATGTCTGCTAACATGAAACAATTGTGTTAAAGTAACTAAAAATGATTAATTAAATGCCAAAAGCGGTTGTATTGTTTTTTTTCTTCTTCCTAAAAGTGCTTTATGGCATTTAAGAAATGCTAAATTAATCTCCAAATCATTATTAAAAAGAAAAGGGTAAAGTTTAAAAGGGTTTGATATATAATACATAATCCACTATTAACAATAACACAGGCTATGTTTTTATTAACATTATTTAATAAAAACGCTAATTTTAAGGAAAACTTTCAATCTCTATAAACAGAAAAGTGAAGCCAAATTTTGTTTCGATTTCGTTTCTTGGACCTGCAAGAAGATCTGTTTGAAACTGCAGTTAGATCTTCAATAATTAAATATTTTATCATCATTATCATAATATTTTGGTTGTTAAATATTTTTATTGAGGCTGATATAAAAGAAATCTAATTTAATCTGTTTTTAAGTTTATTACATCACCCTCTCATGAGTTTTTCTATCTCATGTCTTCCATTTTCATTCAGACTTTTGCTTTTGGCACGTTAGGTCTTCTATAAAAATGACGGATTATGATCCTCGGTTTAAACTAAAGTAGCCTAGTTGGCAGCCCCTTAGGAAACCTTCGATAACAAGCTGCCGTCGTGCTTGAGTGAGTGTAATAGGTCGGAGTTTTGCTGCTTGGGTGAGACATTTAGATGGGGGGGTTCTTTTGGGCAGCAACTTGGTTTCTATATATTTTTTTTTTCTAAGGTGGGATGGGTTTTGAATAAGGAGCTATGGTCCTGATTTTGGCGGCACCTACAGGTAATAGAGGCACACTGCGCTGTGGAGATTGGCTGGGTTTCAAACTGCTGTTCTAATAAATGATGTGAGCCAAAGAAAAATTATATTTATATTTTTAAGGTCTTTTATTTTATGTATCAGCGGTGATTTGTGATTATGGCATAGGCCTATATGTCATAATAGGCAGATATTGTTATTATTATTATGTGTCCCCGTGCGTACACGCACGCGCCAGCGGTCACGGATATACAGTTGGCCCACAGGCAGGGATAAAAATAGCACAAGCCGATGCGACGGGCGCAGCCCTTTTCCTCTACCAGATCCCATTTTCCCCTTAGGTTTTCACAAAGCGGAGCTTCACCACAGATTGATTTCCCTTCTATGGCCATCATTGTCCTCTCGTGTTCATGTCCACGCAGTGTGCACGTGTAGATGGACGGAGTTGTTGTGTGGAGAACGTCTCACACTGAATGATAGAAGGCTGGGGTGATAGACAGAACATCCAGTGATAGGAGGTTTATTTCTGCGTATTTGCTCGGACGTTTACGCACCCTGTTCCGCGGGGGTCTCATGCGTGTGGAGCTGCCTCAGCTCACCGTGGTTCTGTCTGTGGGTTTTACCCGCCAAATGCACTGGATGCTGGGCTATAAATGATCCAGGACCAAAACAGCATCAACACTTGGATATACAGAGAAGTGGTTGGGAGGGGAGAGACGGGAGAGGGAGGGGAGAGGAGGGTCGCTGGAAACCCAGATGCTCCAGCCTTTGAGGAGGGATTTTACCTGGAGATAACCTGCTCCAAAAATGTGTAGTTTCCAACGAATCTTTGACACATTAGCCGATCTTCTCACTTATTTATTTCTCCCTATCCATGGCACAATTCGGATATAGCCGAGCGCAGAGAGACAGTCTTTAATCAGGCTTTACGGGCTGGAAAGTGAGAGAATCTAAACGTGACGTCAATGCCTAGTAACTGACGCAGCCCTTCAACATAAAATGGCTTTTTACTCATTTTTTTTCTCCCTCTCCTATCGTCAGAAAAGCTTAATTACTAAATTTTACAGTGCTCCGTCAACTGCAGAAAGAAAAAGAAAATCCCTGCAAGCAGTGCCGGGTAGGCCTTGCTCTTCAATATTTGGACACATTTAGCGTTCACGAGTTTTGTGCTGAAGTAACACTGGGACCAGAAGCTTCTGAAGAGGGCGACAACACCTCAAACATAGCCGATGGTAGTGGCAGTGTCCAGATTCTAGTTGTTAGGAAGGAAAGTGGCGTTTAAAGGATCAAACGGACGTTTTTGTTTTGTTTGTTTGGTTTTTTTAAGACACTGCAATGATGCAACGGATGAGGACTCGACGCTCTTAAGCAGAGTTGGAGAAACAGTAAAAGATCTTTTTATTACATGGTGCACTACATGTAACGATTCCAAGCAATGCGTTCGTGAGTGTTGTTTTGTTTGTTTGTTTTTTATTTTTTTATTTAAAAAAAAATGTTCACTGCTAAAAATAGAATCAAAGTTTTGATCTTGCGCCAGAAATAGACAAACGGCTTTCACTTCTGAGAAAAAAAAAAAGAAAAAAAGGGAGGCGATCCAACTTGGACGTGCCACTGTAAGCCTTTATGAAAACAGCTCTGTGTGCGCGTGGAGAAGGAGGCTTAATCTGTTGCATTTTCCCTGACTTCTGCTGCAGCCTTTCTCTAAAAATCTTAATGTTTTTTCTGTGCATCTCCCCCATTTTCTTCGCAGTTTAGAGCAAGGACGAGCCAGAATTACGGTGAGAGAGGCACCTGCACACGCAACGTTGAGTCCCCTCTACTTTTGTGTGTGTATATATTTTTGCTGTATATGTGTGTAAGTGCATGCTTGCCGGTGCCTGATCTGCTTCTTTTCCTTTTTGCTCTGCCTTGCCTCCCGGTCGCTCGGATATCATTACTTAGGGATTGCTAGAACAGCAAAAGCAGTCCCTCCGGTAGATTTGGAATCACCATTTCAGTAAACAAGCTATAGTAGGAAAAAAAAGTGTCTTTGTTTGCTGAGTCTCAATTACCCCCTCCCAATTTCTATTCATAACCGTGAAAGCGAGGGGGGACCCTTCTCTGATTAATGCTCAAGGACGACTTTCCCATCGTTTTAAATCTTCAATTTTTATCCCGACTCCCTAAAGAAGAGCCGTACTGACAGTAAAAGGTCGGAAGAGGAGGATGAAGAGGAGGGAGTGAAGGAGCTGTTGCTGCTGCAGAGAGCCAGGCGCACCGCATGGGGAAACCCGGTAGCTCTCCAGCAGCAGTGGTGCTGAAACTACACCAAGTGGCAGTAGTGGGCTGTTGCCGTGCATGCGTGTATGTGTGTCTGATTATATGCACGTGTGTGAACACTAGGAGTTGGTGTTGTTTTGGCACTGCTGGGGGAAACCAGAGATTTGTTCCTACTGAGTGAATCCTCGTTTTTGAGAGGACTATGGGAACCATAAAATGTTTCGTAGATAACAAATGGAAGACATTTATCAAGAAAGAAAAACAATAAGTAGCGCTCTCCTCTGATGTAGAAGTAGAATTCCCTCATCTGAGGCGGCATGGAAGACGAAGAGGCATGGACAAAAAAACCCCACAACGATCTGGATAAGCTTTTCTTCTCACATTAGTTTTGTGATCCTCCACCCCCCACCTGTGTCCGATCAGCTCATAAAAACACCAGATTTACCCCACTCTTTTCATCGCACCTATTTTTGCAGTTGGAAGAGTTGAAATGATCTGTTTTGACGTAGTTATGATAACTTCGCTTCCTCACGAGCGGAGGGCGCGCACGAGTCAGAGGCAGCAGCTTTACGCGGTGCTGCTGTCTCCTTCCTCTGGAAGAAATCATCCTTTTCGGTTGTGATGGAGACACTGTGACGCCTGTCTGCAGAGCTCTGCAGCCCGACTGGAACAGCGGATTGTGCGCTTTCCTGCAGCTGATGCTTGAACAAAATGTTCGCTATTTTGCGTGCAGGAAACCGTGTAACAGAAAATGAGTTAAACACACACACACACACATATACAGACAGACAAGCGTTTGTGTTTTCTCGCTAAACAAAATCCATCTTTCCACACGTTACTCCACCTTTTGAAAACCCAGACACACATTAACAAACAAAACAATAGGAAAGACTAAAACACAAAAGCGCTCCGTATCCGTCGTCGCACAAAAACGGGTCCATATGACCAGAAAGGGTAAATCTTGTTAAATATTGCAACAAAAAACGTTTAATTTCGATGGAAACAACACGGATTCCCGAGTCGTGACTGCCAAAGTGAGTCATGTGCGCGTTGGCTGCGTCAGGAGAGGCAGTCACTGTGCATTGCCGACGGTAGGGGGAGAGTCGTGACTGACTAGGCTGCACATAAAAAAAATAAATAAAAAAAACGACCACTCGATTTAAAAACAGAAAAAGAAGCAAGGAATATTTAGAAATAAAACATGAGAAGACGACAAACACAGCATACACACAACTGGAAGGGGGTTCAGTTTATGGAGGGGTGGTGGGAGGAAAGGTGGAAGGGGTCTTGCTTAGGTGTTCTGGGTGGGATTTGGGTTAGGGAGCTTCTCATCAACACCCCCCCCCCCCCCACACACACACACACACACACACACCCCACAACCTAACAACAGTCCTGAATATCAGCTCTCTCCCTCCACAGGTTGTTTTTAAGCGAGAGTCCTGCTGATTGTTGGTATGCTGACAGTCTTTAGCAAGTTTCATCAGTGACCAGACCAGAGAGAGAGAGAGAGGAGGGGGAGGGGGGTAAGGGAGTGAAAGAGAGAGAGAGCAAAAAGAAGGAGCAAGGGGGGCTAGTTAGGGAACAATTTCGGGTATAGGGGGTCCGGGGTTAAGGGTTTGGGAGGGGGTCTAGTCCAGATCATGACATTGGCCTCTATCTCAGTAACTTTTCCATCAGTAGTTTCATTATTTGGTGAACAGAAGAAGAACCAGGGTGAACATACAATAGCTGCATCTAAAAAAAAAAACGAAAACAAAACAAAACCTCAAACTAATTGAAGTGTTGCAGGAACAAGTAAAGTTGAGGTAAGTTCCACTTTTACATTTTTCCTTTGACTCACTTAACTTTGAAATAACACATAGAAGGAAGATCTGAATTGAACGGCCTGTGCGTGTGTTTGAGAGGAAGTGGTTCATGGTCGTGTTGAGCTCCTCCTCCTCTTGAATGTGCTGTTCTGGGACTCGCTGGTTTGAACATTGTTCAGTCCATTCTTCCTCAGTAAACCGTTGCATTGCGCTGCAGTGTTGACTTGATTTCCAAACACTCACCTTACCCTCATCGTTCCGCGCAGAGTCTGCATTTGGAGTTCCTCCATCAGGAACCCCCCATAGCGGCTTCCCTCTCGCAGCACCCATCTGGATTTTGCAGCTGTAGGCAAACGTTTAGTGAATAATTCTTACTCTGTGCTATGCTGGAGAGCAGTAGCAGTAAAATCCTGCTTGACCAATATGAAGTTACTTCCTATTAGACTTGTTTACATTGTTCGCCATCACTGGTTTTGGCTGCAAGGGTTATTTATGAATCCTGTCTCTGAAGTGGGCTATTTTTGATGATCGCATATGGTGTTTATTGTTTTGCTCTTCATATTTACTCGTTTTCACTCATCGTGATTCAGTGTCAGATTGGCAATCCTGCTGGATCCCCCACAAACCAAAACAATGCAAGCAAAAAACACAGATATTCAACGCTCATTTGTTTTGCATCAAAGCATGAAAACCAAAATATACACTTTCTGATATAGATTACAGTTTAGTTAGTCGTCCTTTCCCCCATCATTTTTTTTTTTTCAAAAAGGGGGGTCCCTATGAGCGAGGCACCGATTGGAGGATGACGAGAATTAGTTTGCTCCAATCAGATCCCTCCCTGCTCTCTATTTATTGCTAGCAGTTTACAGCCTGGTTCCCTCCTCATCCAGAGCTTTAGCGGCTGCAGACAGCCAGCGCTTTTTACTATACAGGGAGCGGATAATATTACACACACAACAACAAAACGCATCGGTGCACAGCTCATTGCGATCACACGGGTTTTGCACAGAATTGCGTTTGGCTATGGGGAGAAAATTAAAAGATATATATATATATATATATATATATATCTATATATATATATGAATAAAAAATCTACTTGGATGGGGGTGAAGAGACGCGAGAGGATGATAGAGGACAATTCAAACTGGAGAAAGGAGCGTAAGGACCTTGGACAGATCTCAGTTGCAGCAGCAATAGTCGGAGACACATCTTTCCTCTCCCCCTACCGCCTTTTCATCCTCTCCTCCTCCTCCTCCTGGTACACGTTGGAGGAAATATAAGCAGCGGCTCTCTGAAAGCTGGAGATACAATCGACTAAGCCGGGATTGGAGATACGGGAGAGCGGGGCTACCCGGGTGTCACGGAGTGCAGCAGCAGCAGCAGCAGCAGCAGCAGCAGCTGATAATGTCCTTCACGAATCTTTTTGCGGTCTGGGCTTGCTGTTCATTACTATTAATCTGGGAAGCCCTTACCCCAAAAAGCATTTGCGGAGGGCGCAATCGACGCGCCACGAGGTTCTCAACGCAGAGACAGGGGTCCACTAGTGGAATTTTAAAATCGTATTTTTTATGGACTTTTCTAATTTTCCTTCCCAGAATTCCGTTTTGATAAATTGTTGTCGGTATTTACCCTGTCCATTAAAATAACAGTGGTGTTTTTATCAAGGTTATTTTAGAATCTAAACATTTACATGTGTCTCCAAATCTTTTTTTTTTCTTCTGTTTTTTGTTTGGGGTTTTCTTCATTGTTAAACACTACGACAAAGCAATCTGCCCTACGGGCTTATACAATTTTATATTGTTCTTTTGTTGTCAAAAAACGTCATCGGACCCCAAACTTTGGACCATGTAACACCAAGTCACTCCCTTAACCAAACACCTCCCACCCTCCCTTCACACTTGGTCCCAAACTAAGCAAAAACAAAATAAATAAATAAAGAGAGCCAGCAGAGCGAGTTTTAAACACATGGAGACCCGTTCACGTTACACGTGGAGGGTCGAGCTGAGGTGTCACTTAATTCAGAAAACTCCTCTACGACATATACCACCTGATTCAGAAAGTTTACTTTGGGAATTCCACACATGACCGGCCCGACGCTACTGTTGGTGAAGTGCACGATGTAAAAGGATTCCTCCAAAGTGTCCATCCTGACGGACACTTTGGAGGGGGGTTAGAGCTGCTTCACGCCTCTCGTTAAACACTGATCGTGGTGATCCAAGCAGCTTCCTCCTTTACGCACACCCCATCTCTGGAAACACACGTGTCTCATTTCCAAGTTTATGAAAAGCATCTATTCCCTTTAAAAGACCACATCCTTCTAGCATGACGCGCCTTTTCCAACCCTTTCACGTACAAAAAAGAAATAACAATAAAGAATAACATAAAATAAAAATTGACCAAAGTCATGTTTGCAAAATCAACTCAAAGCACTTCCATTCCGTAAAACAAATTAAAAAGTTTGCCTTCTTAAGCAATACTGTAAAGCAACAAATTACGCAGACAGAAGTATTTAGATCGGTGAAGATAAATGAAAGACGTTACGTTTAAGACATTAACCAGAAATAGTGAAAACAGAAAGAAAAGACCCAGAAAAGTTTCACTTGGAGGCAAAAGAAAAGGATGAACTTCAACCCTGAGTTTCTGTTTCATCAGCTGTCCCACTAAGTTTCATACATGCGCTGTTTATGAGACTCCCCCCTCCCAAAAAAAGATGATAATAAACAACATATATAATGTTTACAGTAAAACAAGCAATGACAAAGGGACCAAAAGAATAGCAAATATAGCTGTAAATCAGATATTTCGCTTCACGAACGTTCAACTTGGCAACAAAAAGAGTAAACAAAAGAAAAAAGCAAAAACAAAAACGTTTTATCTGAGTGTGACGGAATGGAGGAATAGACAGGTATCTCAGTTGGAGTTTGTTGGAAATCGTTGCGCATTGTGTGAGTTTTAAGGAGAGCCTTCGTTCTTCTTTGTCTGCTGCTTTATTGGCAATAAACTCTAAATGTTCCAAAAGGTTAAAAAGCGGCCTACCTGCTATCATTGTTCATGTAAAGAAAAAAAAGAAGAAAGAAAGCCGCTAATAATTCATACAGAGAAACGCACTGAGGTTATGCAGATTAAATAAAACCCGACCTCTGACCTAAGAAGAGGCCTTTAGATTTCTTTGCATTGTTGGCGCCTAAATCGAGGAATAAAACGCTTTGTGTAACAAAACGGGATCCTGTCTGGCTGTAGAGGGGACTGGTGCTGAAAGGGAGGCGTCGTTTTGACTTTGCTGTGCGTATTTCTTTTAGCTCGGCGCGTAATGAGGGTTCCCAGGTTCACTGTCATTAAGTTGCAATGCTCTCCATGCAGATGTCCCCCACCCGCGACTCTGCGGGGCCCCCAGTGTAACTTCCACACCCCAGAAACATGATTTCCTGCTTTTTTTGTCTTACAGGAGAAAACAGTAAAGAAAACCTCAGTGACCTGTGTGGACTCTGCTGCTGCGGCAGCTTCAGCCTGAGGAGTTATCCTGCTGCGCTGCGCTCCAGACAGAAAAGGTGATCAGCGGTTTGCACAGAGGACTGAATGGCAGAAATACCTCTATTTTTTTCTGGATTTCCCCCAACAAGGTAATTGCACGGGCTCCCCGTTTGAGTGTGACGTCAAACTCCAATCTGCTGTTAAATTGGGTTTTGCGTAAAGGCGGATGATTACTGCACACTTGAGCAGGAATTGAGGCAGCAGAGGGTCCAGTGCGGTTGCATTTACCTCTGGTCTGTTCTACAGCTGCAGTTAAAATGATCTAACATCAAGTTCAACCACCTGCTGTGTAATTTCTCCTTTTGCTCTTATCCTGTCTTGAAATCTTATACTTAAAAGTTTAGTAGAAACTTTGCAATTTTTACGCCTTGTTGAAGTAAAACATCCATGATAGTCTTTGTTAGTTTTATATCAGTCTATGACGTTATTCCTATTCAGTCGTGCAGAATCATTTTTTTCCGCCCGTATTTAATGCAATAAGAAGTTCCCTCATTTTGGAGCAGAAGCAAACTGTTGTCGCCCCATTAAAAAGTAATCTGATCCATCCAGCCTGATCGCAGCCTTAAGTTTCAGCGCACATGTTTACAATTCTGCATGGAGAGACTCCAAAACGCAGCACCTTCTTTGTTTTAAATATAAAGCAATCCCCAACTCTGCCTACATCGTGACTTGGATTTTAGCATTCGTTATCAAGATTAGGCAACACCTCTTCTAAATGTTTTCATGTGTATAAAAAGTCACACGTCAACCCTTAAAGTTTTAATTGCACATATATTTACACCCGTAGCTATGTCTTCATCGATGTTACTTACCTGTATCAGCAAAATGTGTTTTACTGCACATAAACATAAAATCCTTTAAAGGTTCTCCTGATCATCTTTAGATGTAAAAGGTTTGATCAATATGTTCCAACAGCAGCTCTTGCATGATTCTGATCCTATGTGGACTCCTTTTAAAACCAAAGCAAGCCATGACAATTTTAATTAATGCAGGATAATCAATTTCAATAGACTATTCAATTAGACATTCACTCTGTACTCAAAAATTTGAATATTCTCAAGTTTACAGTTGATAATATTTTTTTCCCCAGTGTTTTATTGTCATTAGATTGTCACAAGAATAGCACAATGAAATTCCCTCTCTGCATTTAACCCATCCCATTTGGGGAGCAGTGGGCTGCCACTGTGCAGCGCCCAGGGAGCAGTGTGGGGTTCAGGGTCTTTGCTCAGAAACACAGAGTGGCAGTCTGTGGGAGTGGGGCTCAAACTCAGAACCTCTGGATTCCAAGCCCTATTCCCTAACCCCTAGCCTGCCACTCCCCCAATAATAAAACTAATGATAGTAAAATTAATAATATACCCTATGAAGTTGGACTTCTGACTGGAAATTCAGTTCAGTGTCACATATTTCTGCTGTAATAAGTGAGCGAAAAATATTGTTAAAGTCACAGGTGTAAATCATTTATTATTAGTACAGGGTGCATATTCATTACTGTAGAAAAGCAATTAGAGAATATGTTCCCCTTTTTAAAATTAAGAAAAATACATACATCATTGGTAAGTTAGCATCCAAACTCATTGTAAGTTCATCTTGGAAAGAATGAGACAAAATGTTTGCTTATTTTGCTCCTTCATCTCCCAAGTAGCCCAGATATAAAAACATTGCTTTGGGGTTTCTCCGTTTTTCTGCGTTTTCCCACTTAGACTAAATGTTTCGTAAAACTCAACAAAAGTAAAAGTGTAAAAGTAAAAGAAAAAACTGCAATATAGAAATTCCAATTAAATATTAACAATTCAAAAGTGGAAAATGTAAAGCCACACATTTATTATTATTATTATTTTTTTTTAACTATATCTACTCTGAGTGGGGTTCTGCCCTGGGTGGTGAGCCAGAGTCAATTCCAAAAATCTGCCTGAGGATTCTATGAATACGCGGTGGGAGCAGACATTGATTTGGTCATGATGTTTAGGCTGGGGTATACAGTTGTATAGTTGTCAATCTGGGCTGTCTATAATCATCATCATCATCATCATCATCATCATCATCATCATCATCATCATCATCATCATCATCATCATCATCATCATCATCATCATCATCATTCATTCAAACTGTTAACATTAGTCAAACAATCTCATTGGCCGACCTGTACCCTTTGCCATCTCTCCAAAATAGAAACATAAACTGTCAAGTTGTAAGATACTAAACCCTCAAACTCCACCAGAGAGTTTGCAAATTAATTCTATTGACAGACAAACATCCCAGGATAGTTATGGCATCCTTAAATGTAGTGTTTCTGTGACAGTAGCAGCGCTCGCTTTCATTCAGCTGGAGTCCGTGAAAAAGCAGACTACCTGCTCCGATTTAAAGGTGGAGCCCTGCAAGATAACAATCAGGTTAACTGAGTCACCAGATCCTCAACATTCTCGTCACTCAGTGAAAAAAATGGCATGTTTTTTTCTAGTAATTTATCTCCTGTTCTCCTAAAAAACAACAATACTTTAATTAATTTTTTTGCAGTATATTGTGTCTGAAGCAGGAGGACATTTCTTCATAAGTGGCTTCACACACACAGGTGGCGTTCCTCATTGTCCCTTTTTTATCCCAACACATCAGTATGTTTTAACCTTAGATGATCAGGTTTAACTTGCCACAAAAAAAGGTCTTGTTGTAAAAATTAAATATTGCCCCAGTACAAACAGACACACCAGGGCAGTTATTATTCCATAAACTTATGTATATAAGAACATATTTGCTGCGTTTGTTGTGTTGTAAAGGAGCTGAAGGATGTGTGTCATCCATCCGTCCTGCTACATTCAGTAAATCACAGCATGTAGCTAAATATCTGCTAACAATCGTTTGTCTTGTTTGATACGACCTACCGATGATAGGCTATATTTAGGAAGATGACGTCATTGTTAAAAGTGAGACCAAAGGGCTTTGAAGGCTTGAGCAAGAAAATAGATGAATGTCTTATCGAATGGAAACACAATACATGCAGTGAATTATTTCTTGTTTTTGCTATAAATTGGAGTTTTTTCATCAGATGTTTGTCTATGAAAATGATCCTCCTGGATGGTTCCACCTGAACAGTTTCAGCTGAGGATTTGCTCAGGATGGGTTGGCAGTAACTTCTACAAACGCATCTTTCATCTTGGTTTGATCTAACATTATGTGGTTGTTTTAGTTGTTGATTGGATTTTGCAGAGTAAAAATAAAAATTATAATCCCCTAAGTTTGTTCCTTATTTTCATTCAAATTTAAAAAAAAATCTCCCTTATTAGTACCGCTAAAATTTCCCATGTGCCAGAAAAATATGTTATCAGTTAAATTAAAATGTATAAAGGATCAAAGCTTAAAGTAGTCTCCTAATACATGTAGCTCCTTTATCCAAAAGCGAAGGAAGAACCTCCATACTCCCACATTCATACCTGTGAAGCAGTGATGCATCCATTCAGCCGAATGTTCTCCCTCTGTTCTTTTTTGGGTTTCCTAATTATTTACTGTTACCAATCATGATATCAACAAAGGGTATTTTTGAAAAAAATAACAAACTTTGTCTTAAAATTCAGACGCTCCATACCAGGAGAACGGCAGGTCAGAATAAGATCCACATGGCTGAATGAGACTTTGACATAAAGGGTTTCATGGTATCGCAGCAGTAAAATTCAAGTTAAACCAAAACTTTCCCCTTTAGTTATAAAAAAAAAATCCTACATCCGTTAAAGTAGTTTATTAGTTCTTCTGATTACCAGAATGTGATGGATTCAAAAAGCTGGCGTTCGGCTTTCAGCAGAGATGAAGCACTGCACTTCTCTGTGGTTCGATGCTCGTTATCTGGCATCAACTAAACAGGATTCTGAACTGTAGGAGGAGGGACTGGGAATACATATAGGCGGTTTCCAACTGATATGCTATCCTAAATATCTTAAAATCATTTAAAATACAAAACCTTTATTTTATTGGGATTTAAATCCGATGTTGGTTTTACACAGTGAACTGATATAACCTCTCTGCTTCACTATCAAATTTCCTCCTGGTCTGCTTTTAAGAAACGTTCTTATTTGCCTGATTCATGAAAGAGAAATTCTCTTATTGCTTTATTGTGTTTGAGATTTTCCTTCATTTTGATTTGGTTTCATCTGTTGCACACTGCTGTGATATGTACGTGTGTAATTAAGTTTCAGCTATAATACGGCGTTCGACAAAACCATAAAGATAAGAAACAAAGCTATAGTGAACTAACAAAATAATTGTAGCTCTTATGTTAAAAGATACAATCATGCATACTTATAAAAAAACAAAACATAAAAAGTCATACTTTTTATTTCAGAATTGGATTCAAGTGAAAATTGCACGCTTTATAAAGTAGAGCCTGCAGTAACTGTACCATTTAGTGAGGCACGATGACATTTTTTGGCCCCAATACCGATAACCGATACCTGGCTGTAGAGTATTGGCTGATACCATTTGTTTGAAACTGAATTGTGTGTGTATATATGAAGAACTGCATACTACTTTGATGTAAAATAATTGCCACCATGGCTTTATCAAGCTGCTGCCTACCTGTGTGAAGCAGGAAAATGACTAATACAAAGTGAATCCAGTAGACCTTGTTATTGCCCACCTGGAATGGGTGACATTAGTTGAAGAAACTTTTGGCTCTCAAAATGGTATCGGTGCCATATTTGTTCGTACTCACTGATACCGATACCACCATTTCAATGCTGGATTGGGGCCCCGCCTGATACTGGTATCAGTATTAGTGCAACACTGGTAATAATCAGTTTAAAAGTAGATTAATATAATGCCTTGCAAAAGTATCCATACCTTCCCATTTTGTTATGTTACAACCAGAAACCGCATTGTATTGTATTTAAATACCGTGTGATACTGAAGTAGAAACATTTTCAGAATGAGAGAAGTATGGGATCCAATATATATATATATATATATATATATATATATATATATATATATATATATATATATATATACCCTACTCAAAACCAAGGAACTATCCTAAGAAGCCACTTGATTCATCCAGAGAACCCACCTGTGTGTCATTTTGATCCCCGCTCTCCTGTAA